CCTGCTAGTAGTTTTTCAATATATGGACTTAAAACATACACATTCTCGTAAGGTTCAAGTCTCGTATTGGGTTGGAATAGGTACGAAGATTATCTGTTGCTTTGAATGACTATCAGACAGCCGAATCACTGGATATCACGGAGCTAATTAACGGTGCCAACAAATAACTGCCAAGCCGTAATAATGCTGCTGGAAATTCTTGCATTACCAGTTGAAGACAAAATCTTTTACGCTGTCCTGGTCTTCTCATGGACGGTGTATATTTGGGAGGCCTACCTCGCATATAGACAGGTCAGCATATGGTTATTGTTTGTCTTGGTTGTGTTTGCGGAAAGCATTTAAAGGCAGACACTTTATGCATTTATGATTTTCTATTCTAATTGGTAGACTTTCTGAAAAATCCAAATTCATATTCCAAAACCCATCTCATCTTAGAGCTTTGTACAAATGCATAGTAATGTACTGAAATGATTAACTACTCTAGACCTTGTATAAACAAAGACACATTTTACCTTTCACAGAGGAAAATCTACAGAGCTACTATGCATGTGCCCACTGAGCTGGGCAAGATAATGGATTCAGAAACCTTTGAAAAGTCTCGCCTCTATCAGTTGGACAAGAGCAACTTTGGCTTCTGGTCTGGACTCTACTCAGAGGCAGAGGGCACGGTGAGCTTCATGTCAATTTCAAAGTTTTAAATTAAATTAAATTTCCAAGTGTAATGCAGAGTCTTTTTTCATATTAGCTAGTATTTATTTTATGTTCAGATAACTTTACATCTGTAGGTTTCAGTTGCAAGTTTCTCACAAGTCCTCTGAGAGAAAAAAAAACATGCACCTTAAGGTTTCGTTCTAATTAATCCTGGACTGCAAATCTTTTCTTTTTCATTTTTAATGGACTTCATTCAAGATTCTTTTCCACTTGCATCTGTTTTTTCCTCTTAAAGCATGTTTAATTTATTTCTGTTTTGTAGCTGATTTTGCTCCTGGGAGGAATCCCGTTCCTCTGGAAAGTGTCAGGGATTCTCACAGCTCGTTTTGGTTTTGGTGCAGAGTACGAGGTAGGTATATTCTATGGAAACCTTTTGGTGGAAAAGACTCTTTTTGTGTGTGTGTGTGTGTTTTTAGATAATATTTCTAGAATTTGTTCTCATTATGTGTGAATTTTGGCCAGCAACATTTTTCCTGTCTAATGTCCTAGTTCTGTATGTCTGTATGGTGCTTTTACTTATGTTTATGTAACTTCAGCTGAATTAGACTCCTGTGAAACTGAAGGCTGGAATACACTACACCACTTTTGAACAAATTTTAAAACATTTTGCATGTTACGCTTGTCGACTTTGCAAAAGGTTACAGAAAAATCTAGGCATCACACACTACCAGACTTTCAAGTCTTTCCAAACACAACAGACTCACACAGAAACATGTGACTTGTTGCTAGCAGATGCATAGCAAATGAAAATAACTTGTGTCCTTATCCTTAAACTGGCTCAAAACATGTTTGATACTCTCCAACTGGATGGAATCATAGTTTGGAGCTAATAAAAAGTCTGTGCGCATCATACGATACGCAGTTTACGGTCTAGCCAAAATCTGCAGACTTGCTCTGATTTTCAGCAAATAGCATTGACTTCTCCAGACTGCACAAATCTAGGTAAAAGTCATGTTATGCATGTTTGGAATGAAACATCAGCTTACTACATGCTGAATATTGTGCAGTATACACTGTGAAGCAGTAGGTATTATCCTATTGTCACTTGACCTCGTCATGCAGCTTGTGAGTGGTGTCCTGTTAACATCTTGAAAACAAATTTGGTTGTTTTCATTTTTAAGGTTTTTGTGTGTAAATGTCTTGCTTTTTGGCAGTCCAATCAAAATATTAGTCAAAAAAAGAGATTTTTAGTACTTTAGGAGTATTATACTAGTATGCTATTCTGAACATTTTCAAAAAAGATACTGCGTTATTTAAAATGGTTTTCTTTCCTTCAGATCTCCCAGTCTTTGGTGTTCCTGATGTTGGCAACTCTCTTCAGTGCTCTCACTGGCCTTCCCTGGAGCCTCTACAGCACTTTTGTTATTGAGGAGAAGCATGGATTCAACCAGCAGGTAGATAAAGGCTGGCTCGTATCTATTTACTGTCATAGCAGAAATAAAACTAATGGCAAGATGTACTGAAATGTCTCTATTGTGCCTTCTTTATAGACAGTGGGTTTCTTCCTGAAAGACACTCTCAAGAAGTTTGCTGTGACTCAGTGTATTTTGTTGCCAGTGACATCATTGCTCCTCTACATCATCAAGATCGGTGGTGATTACTTCTTCATCTATGCCTGGCTCTTCACACTCGTCGTCTCGCTGGTCAGTTTTCCTGGCTTTTGCTGAATGTGTTATCTGTGAGAAAAAGAAAAAGTGAGTTGAACTGTCCCTCCCATTTTGCTCTACAGATTCTGGTGACTATCTACGCAGACTACATCGCCCCTCTGTTTGATAAATTCACTCCGCTGCCAGATGGAGAGCTGAAGAGTGCGATTGAGAGCATGGCAAAGTCCATCTACTTCCCCCTCACCAAGATTTATGTAGTGGAAGGTACAGCAAACCATACTTATCTTTTCAATTTTATTACTTTCTATAGAACTTTAAATGTATGTGAATATAATCGCCCTTCTCCTAATATATCTGTGCTCTCTTTTCTAGGTTCAAAGAGATCTTCCCACAGTAATGCGTACTTCTATGGTTTCTTCAAAAATAAGCGCATTGTGCTATTCGACACTCTTTTGGAGGATTACTCCCCTTTAAATAAATCTGGAGAGAAAGAGCCAGGAACGGGAGAGGAGAACGAAGCAGCAGGCAATGAGAGCAAGTCCAAACCAAAGGTCAGAGGGTCAGAGCCAGATCACTAACAAATTAGATTAAATGCTGTTTTTTTTTTGTATTGTTTTACATTTTTGTCTGTATTCAGAACAAGAAACAGGGCTGCAGTAACCCTGAGGTTCTGGCAGTTCTTGGACATGAACTGGGGCATTGGAAACTAGGCCATACAGTCAAGAACATTGTCATCAGCCAGGTGAGTTGCTGTCTGTGCGGCTGTGCTTTACAGCTTAAACTCCAGTGTTATAGATTCCTAAAATATTATTATTGACTATATTAATATATAGTATTATATATTAACCACCAGATTAACACAGTCTTAACAAAGGAAATGTGTTCTTGTCTTGTGTATTTCTCACAGCTGCTATATCAGTTGTTTTTGTCACGGCACATTTCTGCAATGTTGTTTTGTCCGGTTGTTCAAGTAGAATCTGATTAGGTTGAACAGTAGCTGATAAAAAACATAAGACACCAAAGGCACAGAATTTTAAGGGCGCATGATCCGAGGACCATAATTTGAGGATGCTAACGACTCCCTGTTTCTTTACAGATGAACTCCTTCCTGTGTTTCTTCCTTTTTGCTGTCCTGATTGGTCGAAAAGAGCTCTTCATTGCATTTGGTTTTCATGACACCCAGCCAACACTTATCGGGCTGATGATCATCTTTCAGTTCATCTTCTCACCTTACAATGAGGTACCTCTTCTTGCATTTCTCTCCTCTCTTCTTTCTCTCTGAAAAATACATAAGGATTTGTTTGCTAACTATGCATATTCTACCTTCTATGTGAATATTTTTGCTTAGAATTACATGCAGGACATTACAGTACATTTGCAAATGACACGGTCAGTGTTTAGGGTAATCAAGTTGTGTATACAAGGTGTCGTATAGATATACTAGATTAATTCTAGGACATTGGCATTTATTAAAAGACAATTTTGTAGCACTAACTTGTCTGAAACTTTTTTTTTGTTTTTTTTTTTTTGTCATGAGACAATGAATTTTATCAAGACAAACTTTGAAGTACTTATTTTCTAAAATGGGCCCAGAAAAAAACTTATTAAACGTATTTATCACAAGTACATTTAAAGAATCATTTATAAAGTTGGATATATAAAATGTAGTCTTTTTTTCTCCAAGTTTCATTTTATAAAATATTTGTACTTATTCAATCTGTTGTCAATTGTTTAATCTGTATCTGCCATGTAATAGCCTGTGAAGCTGATATGGCAATAAATGTAAAGAAATCTAAATACAACCATTTTCTGGGTATTCAGATTTATCTGATCCAATTCACCTTCTTTTTCCCACTTCAGTTGCTGTCGTTCTGTTTGACGGTGTTGAGCCGAAGGTTTGAGTTTCAGGCAGATGCATTCGCGCGCAATATGGGCCGATCGTCTGAGCTGTACTCTGCTCTCATCAAGCTCAATAAGGACAACCTAGGCTTCCCTGTAGCAGATTGGCTCTTCTCTATGTGGCATTACTCCCATCCTCCCCTGCTAGAGCGGCTCAGAGCCCTCACTGGACCCAAGCAAGACTGACGGCTTTGCAAGGGGGCGCCACGTTCACCACTCGCTCCCCCGAGAAAGGGTCTCGGCCGGCCTCTAATGGCCCTCTGATATCGATGCCTATTTCTCTCTCCTTCTCTCTCTTTTATTTCCATTCCTCTTCTTAAGTGTTTGGGTTTTGCCATTTGTTTGTTATCGCCCTGGAAAGAAGTCTAAATTGATTTCAGATGGCTTCAGATAGCTCAGTGTACAAGATGTCAATGATTTTTGAGTCTGTGCTTTCAGTATGCCTTTTGCAATTGTTCTTGATATGGTTTTGATTGTTTGAATTCATTTATACATTTTAACTGTGAATTGCCCCCTCCGGTTCTTTAGATCCATGCATTTTGCCTTTAATTTTGTGTCATCCACTTGAACCGTGAGAGAGAGGAGGTTAAAACATTTCAGAGGGGCCCTTAGCAGTGTATGAAACCAAGAGATTCTTACCAAGAGATTTAATACTGAGTGCCAGCTGCTGTACTTTAAATAATGTCTGTTTGTTGAAACTGGAATAAGAACTGTCTGCAGTATAGTCAGATGAAATTAAATGGATCGGATGACAGATGTTATGGACTACCCAATTAGACTGCTATTCTGAACTCGTTTGGCTCAGTTAAGCCAATTAAAATGTCTATTCCCATTTTAGTTCTTTCAACCTTTTGAAATAATTTTGTTCTTTGTTTTACCAATTAAAGGTGTTTGAACATATTATATCTAAAAATATTTAATGAGTGATTAGAAATGTTGTTTTATTTAGTTAATTTTCTCTCTGTGCCTGTGTGTGCAAGATGTTGCTATGAGAATGTGTAGAAAAATTATGCGGTCACATTTCCCCCATTTCCTCAGAGAATTGAAGCCCTTAATAGTAACAGAGTTCTGCTGGTGGAAACTGCATTTATGAGGATTCTGTGAGTTTTCACATTAAGAATGTTAAATTTGGCATGCAATCTTGTCAAAATGTTGAACTCTCAAGGCTTTTAATGTAAATGGATTAATGCGGAGTAGCCGTGGCTTGAAGAGTCCATAGAATGCCCACCTGTTGAAAATAAGCCCTAAACCATAACAAATCCTTAGAGAGAGTTATATGGCTGTATGTTCAAACTTACTCCACAAGGAATGTGTCTTGTGACATCTGGAATGTTTGGACTGGAAAGATGAACTTGCATCACTATGAATAAAACAGATCACAACAGCTTTGCTTTAAGCTCGTTTATGTTTCCATTTAATGTTTCTTTTTTTCTTTTTAATCTGCAGTCTCTTTAATTGCTCTTCACATTTTTTAGGGGTACAAAATGATCAAAGAGAAAAACATTTGTACATTTACATTATGCATTGTATACTACATATACAAATTAAGTTTTGATTTACATAATTTTGTTTTTCAACAGATATTTGCTCTTCATTAATCTGCATAGACAGATACATACAACTGCAATAAAACATTAAACCCTGAGACTAATATTTTACAAATCTTAGCTTTTCTGATCATCCCATTTTTTTAAATTTTTTTTTATTGCATCTATAACAGCACATTAAAAGTGATATTGTCAATCGGTCGTAGAATGTTTTTGAGTGGCTGTTCAGTCTTAAGATTTAAATCTCATTAAAATATTTGGTGGGAGGCACAGTTTATTGTAAGTTATCAAGAATAAAAGATTCTATACAAAATGTAATGTTTGGGGGTTGAATACATTTGTACCTAAATGTTTGAATATTTGTATTTACTCCGAATCACTCAAATGGTATTAATAAACTTTCTAATACAGTTCTCTGATGCCTTGGTTAAATTGTTTTCATATTTTTTGTTCACGGCAGCAGAATGTCTTGCAGGTCAAAGGGGTTGAACATTTTTGATTGCAACTGTACATGGTTGCAAAGTTGCATAGACATATATATGGCAAGCCGTTTTAGCTTAAATTATTCCCAGTGTTACTCGTCATAATTGCATTTTTACTAGTAAGAATTTAATTATAGAGCTCTCTAATTCAGTTTTTACTAGTAACAATTACAATTAGAGAGCTCTCTAATTTAATTACAGAGCTCTGCAATTGCATTCTTACTAGTAAGAAATGAATTAGAGAGCTCTGCAATTCCATTGTTACTAGTAACAATTCCGATTATAGAGCTCTCTAATTCAAGTTCTACTAGTAACTATGGAATTAATTCAGTTTTTACTAATAAAAAACATTAAAGATATGTTTAATTGCAGATCTCTGTAATGTAATTAAAGAGCTCTCTAATTCAGTTCTTACTAGTAATTGAATTAGAGAGCTCTCTAAATAGAATTCTTACTAGTAAAAACTAAATTAGAGAGCTCTCTAATTCAATTGTTACTAGTAAGAATTACATTAAAGAGCTCTCTAATTGTAATCCTTACTAGTAAGAATTTAATTCTAGAGCTCTCTAATTCAGTTATTACCAGGGGCGCAGATGGGATTTTTTAACTGGGGGGGACCAAGCTGTCAGCACTAGGGATGTAACAATTCACTCAACTCACGATTCGATTCGCGATTTTCATTTCAAGATTCGATCCGATTCACGATATTTTTTTAACAAAATTAGATTTAAGACAAATTATAAATTAAATGTGTCCTTTTATTATTGCTTGGACAAAATACTGTACGTTTTTTTGTGAAATTTAAATATAACACTACAATAATATACTAATATAGCACTTATAAATTATTGCTCTTTTTTTTGGTTTTGATTGCTTCTATTGTCCTCATTTGTTAGTCGCTTTGGATAAAAGCTTTTGCTAAATAACAAAATTTAAATATAATGTAAATGTAAATAACAAAACTAAATTGAAATTTTAAAACAAGCCCCAAATCAAATAAACAAGTAACACAAATAAAATAAATCTCTTCATATAAACAAACTAAGGCTTTGTCTGTGCTCTTTCCATTTAAAATTAGAGGCAACCGCTGCATTTTAATCATGATCCAAACAAAGATGCTGCATACATGCAACATGAGCAGTTTTGAATCTAAATTAGATTGTATAATTTCGAAATTTGAAGCAAAAACAGAATGGTTTGACTTCAGTTTTGTGAAACTATGCATAAAAAATATCTGCATGAAACAGATACAGCAGAGCTGAATGAGAGGCAGATTCCCTCTGATTAACTCTGATTAATCCTCTGTTTACCGATGTCGCCTATGGCAAGTCCATTTAGCTTTAAATAATCCCAGTGTTACTCGTCGTAATGGCATTTTTACTAGTAACAATTCAATTAGAGAGCTCTACAATTAAATTCTTACTAGTAACAATGCCAATTAGAGAGCTCTTAATTGTTACTAGTAAGAACTGAATTAGAGAGCTCTCTAATTCAGTTCTGACCAGTAATAATGCAATTGCAGAGTTTTCTAATTAAATTAGAGAGCTCTCTTATTGTAATTATAACAAAAATTGTAGAGCTCTCTAACTGAATTGTTACTAGTAAAAATGCAATTACGACGAGTAACAATTGGAGTATTTTAATCTAAAACGACTTGCCATACATATAGAACAATGTGATATTCTTGTTTGCGGTTGTACACTATCTGTCAGCGCATGTAAGCGCGCATACAGCGGTTGTGGACTGTACCATTGTCAGTGCCTGTAAAAAAAATATCCTGTATAAGCTTGTTTTGTACAATATAAAAAAATTTGAATAAACTAACTTTATAAATTACCCTAGAATAACAGTGTATGTGAGTGAATTTCCGCAGCGTTCACATGTTTTGCTATAATAATGGTACGTTCCTGTTTTGAGTCACTATACAGGAGTGCACACTCATGTCACTGCATTCATGATCGCCTGAAGAGAGAATGGCTAGGTTTCTGAACCGTAATATGAGGACTTTTTTGGCCACACAGTTCAGGATGTCGTCCGACCAGGTAGATATGTACAGTATGAAAAATATATTTGTCTTTCTTCAGCCTACGAAAGAAAAAATAAAATGATTTTACCTGTAGCTGTAGTGTCAGTCTGTTACCATGTATTTCGTCACACGTGTTTGTTTATTAAATACGTTATATGTTGTTTTAACGTACAGCGTTGATTACAAGTAGCTATCAACCGTTTTTACGCAATAACACAACTGGAGCGCTTTCAGTATGCCCTTGTGTTGTGACCCCTTTGTTCACATTCAGGATAATTATCCATTATTTGAGCATTCAACTGCAAACTCTCTGGAGCAGTACAGCACATACTTTATACATAATACATGCATACACACACACACACACACAAACACACACACATAGCTCAAAGAATTTATTAATTTGTGCATGTCAATCCATGGAGCAGTTACTATTTCCAGGTAGAGTACTAAAGTAATAAACTATTCTGTCTTGTGCAATCTGTCTCTCCCTCTGATAAAGCTAGGAGAACTGGGTAAAGGTGCTGGGAAAGGAGGCGGCGGTGGAGGTGCGGTGAGGGAGGCAGGAGGTGCCTTTGGCAAGAAACAGGCAGCTGAGGAGGAGACGTACTTCAAGTGAGTGGTTTTGCTTGATCCCATTGTGAATTTCATCGCTCATACTAGATCTCTACTGCTTATATGGCTATTAGCAAAATCAGCCCTCTCTCAATATTTGATTCTGCTATGTGCAGTTATAAAGCTCACACAGTGTTGTATGCACTGTTTTACTTTAGAAGGTTTTATTTGGAGTTATTTAACAATTTGAAGCCACTTAAAAGGTTATTGCATGTCTTATTTCCTCCCTCTATCACCTTCACAGGAGAAAAGAGCAAGAACAATTGGCTGCTCTAAGAAGACACCACCAGGAAGAAATCGACCACCACAAAAAGGAAATTGAGAGATTACAACAGGAAATCAGTCGCCATGAGGGCAAAATCAGAAAACTTAAACATGATGACTGAGACTGGCGAATCTAGACATTTACATTTTGTAAACAAATGTCCCAAACATGTTTAAAATGTGATTGAATAATTGTAGATGCTTTATTTTTATTAAGCATTTGTGATCTCTGCTGTCACTTATGAAAGCATGTTAATATATAGATATGACTAGAACATTGAAAATATTATGTGTATTAAATCAGTACACTTTCTGCTCTTGACAATAAACTTGAAATGGTGTCTCAAATATGAAATTGTATTTTGGTATGAATAATATGTTTGCTGAACAAAGCCATCAATTCATTTGAGCACCAATATTCATTTAAGTACCAATAATAAATATAAGCTACTTATACATATTTGCTCATTAAATATGAGCCAACTGTACCAAATAAAATAATGTTCAACCCTATTCCTGGAGGTCTCCTGCAACACATTTTAGATCAGGGGTCACCAAACTCGGTCCTGGAGGGCCGGTGTCCTGCAGACTTGAGCTCCAACTTGCCTCAACACACCTGCCTGGAAGATTCAAGTGTACCTAGTAAGACCTTGATTAGCTGGTTCAGATGTGTTTGATTAGGGTTTGAGTTAAACTCTGCAGGACATCGGCCCTCCAGGACCGAGTTTGGTGACCCCTGTTTTAGATATTAGTATTGTCTGCAATCCCATATCGGGTATTTATGCTAATGAGCCAGTTAGGCTTAGTCAGGTGTGTTAAATTATAGGAACATCCAAAACATGCAGTATTGGGCCTTTTTTTGTTTAATTTCCCGTCATTTGTAGAGCCCTTGTAGCACATTTGCCCTCCAGCTGATGGCGGTAGAAATAAATAGTCAGCTTACAAACGTCCTCTGAAGAACAGCGA